AGCCATTTAACAACTATGGATTTCCTCTAGAGGTCAGGGAAGATCATGTCTTCATTGTGCCTGAGTATCCCCCCCCCCCACTTACATATTTATTTAGAGCATTTATATTCCACCCTTCAGCCAAAAAAAGCTCCCAGAATTATTAACAAATGTTAACTTGATGTCTCTCTGCTCTCAGGCTTGCAATAAGACAGAACACACAAGGAAAATGGAATGGCATTAGAAGGGGAGATTAAACCCAACAAGTGCTGGCTGCTCTTCCTCTCACTCTGAGGCCACAGAAAAGGAAGTGGGAACATGGAAGGACATGGGCTCTCACTAGTTACTGGGTCCAAGGCATGATGGTGCTGTGCCTAGTTGTTCCTTTCTCCCTCAGAGAAATGACAATAAATGGACATGGTAACATCCTGTGGCAAATGAGAGATAGGCTGCACATGTGCAAGGGTATCCTGTACCTCTTTCATGGTATAGGATACTTCTTTTTGCACCAAAGTTAAAAGGACTCACAGAGGTATAATAGGAGTTGCACTTGCGCATGTCACCAACAGGATTCCAGCCATTGCATTCTAATAACAATTAAAAGAAAGTGTTACAACTCCAAATATATGAACAGATTTGGGTGGACTGTGAGTAAAGGGAGGTGAAAGATGGAAGATGCTTGGGAGAAACTCTGGTAAAAATTTGATATGAGGAAGTGGTCAGAAGATGCACTGTAAAAGAAGGAAAGTGCTGCTTTTGTTGGAATGCATGCACGAAGCTAACAGTCCCAAAGTCATGCTTCTTTGGACATTTCTCTAATCAAAAAAAGAAATATGGTCATGTAACGTTTATAGGTAATTGGAACCCACAATGAAAACAAAGGACTATTTTTTTAAAAAAGGCTTAAGTGATAACATTTGTTGTACTATTGATATTTAAAGAAAGCAATTTAGAAGGCTACTCCACATTGACCATGTAACTTCCAAAGGATAATTGCATGGTGCCCTCCAGTGGCAATACCAGTGCTTGACAGAGTACTCTCAAAATTGTTTTTGTGGAAAAGGCTCTTGTCCCAATGGGGTGGGCAAAGTGTAGCCTTCCAGATATTGCTGCAACTGCAGCTCCCAGCTTTCTTCACATTGACAGTATTGGCTAGGCCTGATAGGAAGTGCAGTCCAATGACATCAGGGCTGCACTTTCTCACTCCCATTCTAGAAGAATGTTTTAGAATATTTTTTAAAAAAA